GTCATCAATGTATGTTGATATTCACACATTTTGAGTTTTCTCAGTAGCAAATATATTTAATAGTTAATAGTTTTAAAAATGCATTAAATACATTACGGTTGATTTAAATTTTTTCTGTAAGTACTGAAAATCAGTAAAATCAAATTCTTGTCCCAATATTATAAGTATTTTTTAAATTTATATTCAAATATAAAATGTGCTAAATATTCTGTATTAAAAAAGTTCATAATAAATCATTAAATACTTTCAAAATAATATTAATCATCATGTATATAACTATAGAACTAGGACAGTAAAAACAAATCAGCATTACTAACATAAATTTAATACTTAACAGAGTAAACATATTCAAGTAAATACAACATGAATATTTTAAAACTTATTTAGTAAAAAATCCTAATTTGTAAACTTAAATGAAACACTATTTTATATTGTTTTTCAAATGTTACTCTATATCAAATGACAAAAATAAGAGATTTTCTGGAACTAAATACAAAGAGTTTGTTGAAATTTTTTTTATAAAATTAAATAATTAACTCTTAAACATTAATGGATCTATTCTTGTGAAATTTAAGAAAAGCAATTAATTAAATAATAAATTAATTTTTTTTTCTAAATTATTTTCAGTCATAAATGAAATAACATATAATATCCACAATTATTCCAATAAATTGGAATTCCAAATTACAAATTTAACAAGAATAAATCTGTTAACATTTTTGTATACTTCAAATTGTTTTCATTAATAAAATGACCGATTCATTATTCTTATTATTTATTAAACTATAAAAAAATTATATATATTTTTTAACAACTGAATCACATCTTTAAACATTTCATTTCAATAAAGTTCTAATAGATAAAATATTTGCTAAATATTTCACTTCATTTATAAAAGAACATTATGGAATATACCTTGACCTCTTTTCCAATGAAAACTGTAGTTTCCTGGTGTAAAGCTATACATTTTAGTATTTATTAATTACATTTTGGGTTATCATCAAAAACTCTTATAACTGAAAATACAATTACAGTATAGAGAAAACTTTCATTCTACTTATTAGTTTGAACCTAACTTTTTTAAATAATCCAAATAGAATGTTATATAGTTTTTCACATTTATAGAAATATGAAAGAATTTTATAATTTTTTTATAATAATGGAAAAACAGATAAATAATAGTTGCTTATTTGATATAATGGTTACAATATTCATAAAATTAATGTATTCCATATAGCTTCGGTAAGCAATTGTAACTTTTGAGAAATATACTGTTAATTTAAATTTTATATCTTTTTTTTTTAATATTTTCTCTGAGAAAGTAATTCATAAAAGTGAAACACAAATAACTATAAAAATGAATAACTAAAATAAACATGCAAATCTGTCATATTTTTCATAAAATAAAGATGTTTTAATAAAAGACTTAACAAACTTTGTTAATTTTTTTTCATTAAAGAGTCAAAAAAACTAGCTACAAAGAATTTTCCTAAAAGGAGTAATTCTCATTAAAAACCAAAGAAACATTTTAGTAAACTGCTGTAATATTATATACTGTAATAAATTTAAGCAAATTAACCATTAATTATCAATTACTTGCACAACATTATAAATTCTCTAACATAGTACTGATTATTTTCATTTTCTACATGTACAAAAGTAAATAAAAAACTTTAAGAAATTTTAATGTAATAGAAAATTATATTTAAATCTAAAATTTTAAGCAAATTTTTAAAAGCTTTGCAATGTTTGAAAATTCAGAATTTAAACCAAAAAAATACATTTTCATGGTCTTGCATCTGAATGACAAAATTATGTTTTTAGTGAAGATTTATGAATTGAGGTTGAAAATAGTGAAAATTACAAACAATACAATCTCATACCAAATAATTAATAAAGTCTTTCTATGTTTGAGTAAGAAAATTATAAATGACATTCTTACATATTATTATATATTATTTAAGAAAACTATATAAACTATAGGATAATTTTCTGAAGTGTTAATTTCTTTTTTCTAGAATTAAACTGATAAATGTTTCCATGAAAAAATGCTTAATATTCAGTGTTTTAACTATTATTTTTCATTCTAAAATGGAATATTCTAAAAAGTTTCAAGTAAAATATTCCTAAGTTTTTTTTTTTTTTGTATTGTCAAGTGTCTAGTAGGATATCTACATGATAAATAAAAACAAATAATATGATTTTTCATTAAACTATGATAGAAATATATGCTGTACAAAAATAAGAATGTTTTTAATAAAATTATTTTGTTCTTTTATTGAAATTATTATGTCATTATAAACCATAAATTTATTTTTTATACTACTGTTTTGTGATTACTGCTTAAACAGCTAACAAATTTAGATTAAAAAAAATATATAAATATTCTATTTTTATCATATTTTTTTAATTTCAGGTATTTTATGTAAATTATATTATTATTAGATCTAACATTTAAAAATAATATAAATAAAAGCATAACAAAGCAATATTTTTGAAAATTAATTTCTGCTTTATCAATAAATAATTGGTTTTCTAATCATGTTTCTTCTAATTATTGATTAAATGCAAAAGTTAACATTTGACTACTGACATATTTTAACATGATGCATTGAGAAATCTGAAACTGAATGGATTATGCACCTCCTGAGTTATGCATCTCAGGAGCTGACTTACTATGGCTTGAAGTGTTCAATATTTAGATAGGAAACTGTGGGATCCAAAACATTAGAAGATAATATTTCAGGAAGAGTTTTGGAAAAGAATAGTATAATTTAACTATAAAAATATTTATAATTAGTTGAATTATTCATAATACTATTATTTATATTTAAATACTTAAATTATTATTTGAATTCTTAACAAATAGACAATTTTATTGAAATACTTAAAAAATGTAATTTTCTTTCATTAGATAATTATTATTGATAGTGTTATATGAAGTTGGCACAAAGAAATTTAAGTTTTGTATGCTGATTACAAATTTAAAAACTGTAAACTTACTTATTAAAAATAAAGCTTTATTTAACAAACAATATAACATTATGAAAAACTAGTGTTTTTAATATGATGTGGAATACTCTTACAATTTAATTTTACATTATTTAAAGATTTAATAACTTTTTAAAATTTGTTTCCTATGTAAAAATTCTAATAAATCTTTTTCACTTTTCCTAAAAGAATTATTTTAATGAATTTTCACTATATTTCCTTAATTCTAAAATGGACCAGAGTCAGAAATCAAATTTTAAGAGTTTTTTAATGAACAAAAAGTTTTAAAATAAGTTTTATTTTGCTAATTAACAACAAATTAGAAAAACAATAGCAAAACAGTTCCATGACTTAGGTAATGTTTAGCAGCTCTATTTCCATCAGCATACTCTGCATAGAATAACTATTTATTTTAATGCTGCATCATAATGTTATCTTGAAGGCTTTTTATGCATTAAAAAGCAGTTTAAATTAAGTGCTTATTACCAGCAGTGCATTTAGATCTGCACAAATTCAGATTTTTGGCTATATTGTTCACTATGTTGTCTACTTACAATGACTATTGATTATTGGTAATTGTATATGAAAGCTGCCATTAATTCTAAAACACCTCTACTTCAGACAAGTAAAAATGGATAAAAAGTACATCTTAAAATCAAGAAAATATCGTATATTCATTTTTCTATTAATTCTATATATAATTATTGATATTTAGTAAAATAAGTATACTAAAAGTAATTATGGCAAATTTGTAAAAATACAATGTTACATTGACCATTTCACCAGAATCAAATTTATAATTTGTAATTAAATTAAAGAAAAATATTGCAGGCTAAAATAAAAACGTATTCATTTATATGGCTCAAAGTAAAAAATAAAATAATTATTCCAGATTATCATTTACATCAACTTATCTAGCTCATTAATAAAATTAGATTGAACAAACCAATAGTAATTGAAAAAATTTATGAGTAACTTCAACTTATTAAATTAATTTTTTATAACTTATGTATTTTATGGGTGATTACTTAAATTGACATGAATTACTATGAAGTAAGAACAAACAACTTAAATTTTGAGATTAACATATCAGATTTTTGGAAAAATCCTATCTTAAATTAATATGTAATGTTATTTCTAGCATGACATCTTAAACTTGTGCAATAACTTTTGAATTTATATATTTTAACAAGAAACATCAAAAAATTTGGAACTGGATTACTCATTTGCCTCCCGAGTTTATACATAACAGAAGATACATGATTAACATTACAAAATAATTTGATATATCCTAAGTTCAAATAATAAATTATAACAATTTGATTACAACAATAGTAATTCAAAACTCAAGACACTATTTAAATGGAATAAATTTTCTAAAGACATTACACATTATACGTTACTGCTATTAAAATTTCTCAAAGTAATAAAGAACAAATTACAAAATATTAAAATTAGATGATAATCTCTAAGTTTCACATATAACACAAAGAGAACTTTAACAAAAGAAACACACATTGTCTATTGAACATTTACAGATAAACATCAATAATTTCTGATGAAAAGGCTTCATTATTTAAAAGACAATAACTGTGTTATGAAAAATGTGATATACATAATTGGTTGTAAACTTCAAGTGTACATAAATATTTTGAAAGAACAATAATTTTATTAAATTATATCATAAATAATTTAACTGATATCTGATATAATGAATTTTCAGAAAAAGTTGAGACAATAATGACAGTTTAAACAATAATCAAGAATTTGATCTAGCTCCATCTATCTTCAATTTCACCTCAATATAAATATTAAAAATACATTTCCATCTGTATTTAATCTCCTAAAGTTATTTAAACAATTTTTATCATTTTATTACTACGAAATTATTAATATAAATTAGAAAATATATTCAATTTATAAAATCTAAATTAAATTAATTTCATTATTAATTAAATTGTATTAATAAATCATATATAGTTTTAATTTTAAAAAAGTTTAAAACTTACTGGTTTAGGCATTTTGGCAGTTTTTCTTCAATTTAATCACTCAAATAACTAGAAAAAAATATATATATAGAAGTTTTACTTTGATTTTAAAATAATTTAAAATAAACTTTTATGAAGTAATAAATAAATATATTATTACATTTAATAAAAAAAAAATTTAATCAAATCGAAATTTTATAAAAATAAACTATTATCTATGCAAAATGTTGTTGAATGTTACAAAATTTGAACAGCTTTCAAATACTACTAAGAATCGTTTCATTATTCTTTCTTTAAACAGTTTAATACAAAACAATATTCCAATATTAACAAACTAAATTTTGAAGTAAGTAAACTCTGTTAAATACTTATTTTGTATATAATATTTATTTAAATTTAATATGCCAAGCTATAAGATAAATCATAAATTGTTTTCTTGGATAACACTACTTTATAAGTAAAAAAATTTTGAAATAATTGTTATTGCTTTATTGTTGTTTAATCAACTCAGTATGTTGAACTACATATTTATATATTTGCTATTTCATTAGATTTAAAGTAATCTATTAAATACAGGATGTATTTAAAAGCAGGATACATTCATCCAAAAATGACCTATTTTTATTAGACAGGTAATAAGAATCTTTTGTGTATTGTACTGCAAAAATTATTAGCACATGCTTTCAAAACTACATAACAAATTTTTTACTTTATTATCTCAAAAATTTTTTAATTTACTTTAAAGTTTTATACTTTTTAGGTTAAATTGCTAATGTACTAATTTCATGTTTTCTTGCATTAATTTATATTCTTGTGTGTGTGTGTGTGTTATGTATGTATGTAATTAAAAATTTTAATTAAAACTAAAATAAACATAGATTGATGAACTTTACAAACTTTAATCTAAGCTGTTGTGTTTATATAATTTGGACATGAACTTCAAAAATATTTCTAGGCAAAGATAAAGTGAAAGCACATTACACTCATGATACTTAGTTTATTAACCTATTTATTATACAACTTAAATGAAATGTACCTTACTTGCATATCATTTTACACAGAAAAGTTTAAGTACAAATGAATAATCATTAGAAAATATTTTATCAATATAATTATATAAATATTTTACTCTTAAAAATTTTTTTGATATCTATAAATTTTTTAATGATAGTACATGATTAAATAATCACTTACATTCAAACAGTATATGGAAATCAAAAATTCTGTATTATTTATAACAAGTAATTTATTACTAAATAAATAAAATGCATAAAGTAATGATTAATAATTTAAATTTCAAGATTCAGAAGTAAAACCAATATAAAATTTGAGTTTTTCTTTTAATCATCATTCTGTGTTCAAAAATGTTTCAGTTCTAGACATTTTGTTTATAATATAGTTTTAAAAAAAACCACAGATCAAAATATTTTGTAAATTTTTGTTTATAAATACATACAGAATTAGTAAAATTTATCTCTTAAATTTATAATTTTAATTTGTTCATTATACATAATGTAAATAAAATTCATACATTTCACAATTTGTTAATGTGTCAAACAGCTTAAAGGCAGAAAACAGACATGACGGTTTTCAATAGAACACATGCTCCATATAAGGTATTATTATGAAACCATTTCAAAGAAAAAATAATATATTAAATATAAATTTTACTCCAAATTAATTACTAATTATTTAGATTAAAAAATTTGAATAATACTTTACATTCAACATTTTATTTATGTAATTAAAAAACTAAACTATTTTTCAACAAAAATTAGAAGAAAAAAATAAAAGTTCCTTCTTATATCACATCACTTATAAACATTATAGATCTGTAATTATTTATTATTTACTTGGAAATAATAATCATATCGAAGTTGTCATTTCATTTTCACAAAATTACTAATTTAAATAATTTCCTGTAATCAGAAATAATTAGGAATTTTACACATTTAAATAAACAGAATTCTAGGAAAACCACAATAAAAGTATAACAGGATTATCGCCTAATTTAAATAAAATTTCATATTGTATAATACTGAAGTCATTTTAAGTATTTCCTAAATGAATGACTTCTCAGAAGATGTCCAAACAAGGAATGTTGAATGACTCATTCCTTAATTTTCTATATGAAACCTAATTTTTTAATATTGAAACTATTCATTTTAAGTTAGTCTAATTAGAAACAATTAATTATCATCAAAATTGATTTTTTAAATAAATAAATATAACATTTAAAACTCACTTTACATTTATCCCCTGTTTATAAGTTTATTGTATTCGTCCCAATGTCGTATATTCTAATGTTTATTGAATTACTATTAATAAAAATAGCATGATTTAGCGTGAAAGACTTTTACAACCGATTTATTAGGCAACGTTCTCATATTTTCCATATGTTTCGTTAATAATTGAACATTAAGACTTATAAAATGCTACTAAACTTTATAACTAAAGTGTTTAAGCGTTTAATTAAACGATACTTACATTTCTTGAAGAGATTCTTTTTTAATCCGGATGCCAATATGGCCGCTCCTCCTCCATTCAAGGGTGGGGTCGTTGCGAAACGCCCCCTATCGGCGTAATATATGTTACAACGTGGAAGTAAACTTTTACGTAAGTTCTGAAACAACTTGTATTACATCGACATAACGCAACGAAGCGTATAATGTAATTTATAAGAAACTAGTCTCCTTGTCAGTATATTGCTTAAATCGGGAGTGTCGAACGCATGTATGAAACGAACCGATATACTTTTAAATTGGTTGCGCGTGATCGATTGTTTATTTATTTATTTATTTATTTTTTATAACAAGCTATGAGATCGAAAAATTGCGTGCATACTAGTCCATACTACTAAAAAAGAATAGTTTAGTTTTAATATATATATTGGTTTTATTTTTCTGTGTAATAATAAAGGGGAAAAACATTTGGAGGAAGCGATAAAACAGCGGGAGGTAATCTAGTTTGGCCCCCTTACAGCTTCTAAAAAATCTGCATCAGCTAAGTGAATGACCATATGCTTATACTTAAGATGTTAAAATGTTTTCCTCTTGAAGTAATACTATTTAATACTGTATATTCAATTCTAGTTTAAAATTTTAAAAAGTTTTTCAAGTTTTTTCCTAGACGATTAAATTATTATGGATGGTTTTATATAAATATAAATAATTATAATTGATTAACTAGAGTTTACATTTATAAAAATTTTCTAATGGTCTGTTTCGTATAAAGATAGAAGAGTAAAAATAAAATTTGAGCATTTATCATTTTTTTCAAACTTTTGATTTTGAACTTTTTATATTATTAATTAAATAAATATTCTGTAAACGGGTATGAACAAGTATTCAAAATCGCCATGTGTGACCGATTTATTATAGTCATACTCTAAGCGAAAATTTAAATTTTAATTAAAAATATTTTTTAAAAAACATTATTATAATTATTTTCTTATACTTTCTTCGATCAAACATTTTTTTCTGTTGCTTCGTGTAATGAAACAGAAAAATTGAAACAAGTGGATTTAAATAGCATATTGGTTTGGATAATTAAAAAAAATTAAAATTTATATTAAATAGTAAAATAAAATTTAAATAATAATAATGTAATAATGAAGATAAAAACGGCATAAAAACGAAATTATTATAACCTGTCTATAATATAGCTGCTGGCCCATCAAAGCCATCAAGATCCATCTCTGCTTGAGGGTTTTCTTAATACTTTTAAGCGTTTCATTCTGTAATAAAATTCTAAAATGATTTACTATAATTTGTCCATTAAAAAAAAATGCAAATACTAACAATTATGTGTATACATACGTAACTTCATGAATATGTGCAGGGCTATTTTTCAGCCGAAACGCTCCAGTAAACCATACCGATAAATAGCATAAAAAGTATTGATAGCCGGTAAGTACACTACTTAGTACCCGCAATTGCTCAGTATAAAGTAAAAACAAAATTCTATATGTTCAGCCACCATAGTATATGCGTACCGGCAGTAATGTTTCTATCGGCATATAAGTGCTGATAAAAACATTACTGCCGGTACGCATATATGGAAAGTGTAAATAATGAGTTGAATTTAAAATGTTCAATTTAAATAACGTGTTTTTAAAATTTTCAAAATTAATATTTCATCGGAAGTACAGTAATGTAGATCCATATAAAAACCAGTAATGAAGTAAGTTTCTCAGAAAATTCGAAGCTAGCAGACCGTATAATGCAAAACAAGATTACATCTGATAGAATATTGAAAAATGTAGTTTAACACTATTTTTAGAGCGTTAATATAAAGAAGAATTTATCCAATCTCAATGAATGAATGCTTAAAATAGTAAAACGAAAAGAATAAGATTTTAACCAGTATTTAATGATATAATACACTAAACAATTATAAATAGAAAACCTAATAGTTTCAATAAATATAAACTATATTTTTAAAAAAGATAATAATAAAGCTAAATTTTCTTAATAGTGCAAAAAATTGAAGACATAGATTAATATTCTATAATTATCATTTGTTTATGCACTGTTAAAAATAAATATAGTTTTTCAGCCCGGAATAGAACATGATTATGAATGTGTAGGTAACAGACCTTAGCAATTATGACAAGATTTCTAGTAAGTACACAGACCTTAGCAATTATGACAAGATTTCTAGTAAGTACACAGACCTTCAGGAATGCAAGGTTGTTACAAAATTCGGAAGGAAAATATACGAAAATAAGAACAACTAAACGTCTATAAGAAATACATCATGTGGAACACAATCAGATTTCTATTAAAGAATGAAACAACGGTTACTTTTCTTTTAAACTTGCGAGTCTAGCTGTTTGAAATCATGCTACCAAGAAGTATAAAACTATTTTTGATGCGGAAACCAATAATTATGCTAACTTTATGTTTTTCCCAGAAAACTTAATTGTCTCGACCATTATTTAGAAAAATACTAGATAACCCGTAAAAAATTTATATCTATTTATTTTATTATTTGTTTACGAATTCCTACAATAAAGAACCAGCGCGTATCGCTTGATAAAAGATTGGCGTGTAACTTAATGAGTAGAATTTCAAACATAAATGAATTTTAAATGTATTATAAAAATATTTATTATTTTAAAATTTTTTATAATATNTAATATAATATATTAAAATACTTTAAACATATATTTGTATTTTTTTCCCCAAAAACGAAGCACGAGGACATAACGTCACATTATACTCTGTGTAACGTCATAGGTGGTCTGTGACGACGAAGGAGTATGTTTCGTCCTCGTGTTCAGTTCTTTCCTCGGCTGGTAAGAATTAAAAAAAATATATAAAATATTAAGAAATGTGCATGATTATAACGAATACACATTACTCGATGTAGACTAATGCGATCATTGTAATAAAATTAATAATAAAAGACTTTTAAAGTCTTAAACGTACAGTACATATTTACTAGACCATTATGTCTTTTTATTCACGAAATTGTTTAATGCAAAAAAGTTAGATATTAAAACCTTATAAGAAAGTTTAAAAATCGTTATCCTATAAAATTTTCATAAGCAATGTAAAGCAGAAAGAATTTTAAGCAGGATTTTTAATGAAAATCAGTAGTACAGTACTAGATATAAGTGAAAGGTAAGTATGAATTGTGAACTCTATAGATCTTACATTTTCTTTTTAATTTTAAGATACCGAAATTTGTTACCAAGTCCAATGTAAGAATACATCACAGAGTAATTTTGGGGGGCTGTATCTCACAAAGGGTTTCTCATAGAGGTATGGTTCCTTTGACTTTTTTGTTCCTATGAGTATGCTCTACAGTTCTGTTAAGGTCTCAAATGTATCATTTGGAGCTTGAATTGAGCCACTAGAAAAATCTAAATTAAATCAAGAACTGTAAGAAACCTTACAGTTCTTGATTTAATTTAAGAAGAACAAATACATATTTTTGATATAAGATACATATATTTTGTGTTTCAAAATCCTTACATCAACTAGGTAAGAACAATTTTATTGAAATATCAACATCAATATTTGATGTAGTGCCATATATTACACTCATTGCTATAAAAATTAGTGCACTAAGGAATTGTCATATTGCTCTGAAACTTGGCAAGCAGATATGGAATTGATTAGTTATAGCATGGTGGCTCATTGCATAATGCCAGCAGTGGGCATTAAAGTGCCCCCTTGGCCTATAAAAAAGTGTGCATAGGCTCCTGTCTGTAGTTTACCTGTTGCAGAGGGACACTGTATCATTAGAGATACCTTTACATCACAATCAAAGGCCAAATGAACAACTAATTTGAATTTGAGAGGGGAAGAAACATCAGGTTGAGAAGCTGGATGGTCATCTTGCCAAATAGCCCACCACCTAAGTCATTCTGACAACACTGAGGAGGTGTTGAGACCAGTGGACAATAGAGACCTTGCCAGGCTCAGTATGTCCTTGGCAGACCACTAGCAGAGAGGACTGCCTGGTCTTCTGACAAGCACACATACACAACTGACCATATCATTGTTTGCCATCCAGACACACAGGTGGTGCCATCATAACAGTCCCCTGTGTCTGTCTGTGCCATTTTAGGCACCTGGGTGAGGAATATTTGGTATTGCAGCAGTTGTTATGTGTGCTTTCATCAACACTATCCATTGTCACCTCCATTTTGAGTGGTGTGAGCAAATGGAACTATGTTGTCTACAGCAACAAATCCAGATTTGATATATTCTCTTAAGCTCTGTTGGTATGAACTGTGTTTCATGAGGACCAGTGTTCTGGACTTATCTGTTCTGGTGAGAATTACTCCGTTCTTTCGCATCCATCTAGTAGTACGACTCAGTTTGTCCAACAGAGCTTAAGAGAATACATTGATAATACAATGTGCGAGAAAGAGAATGACGATATAAATCCAGATTCAGTTTGGGCACTGATGAAGACCATGTTTATGTCTAGAGATTCTGTAGTGAATGCCTCAATCCTGCCCACATTTTACAGCGTCTGACTGCTCCCATAGCCTGTATGATGGTCTGGGTTTTTTTTTCTTTAATTTTCTGCCTTGTATGCACTAAGCGGGCCTCTTATCAAAGCCCATTATGGGTTTAGCCAGGCTGACAATGAGGCTGTTGGTGAGGGACAGAACTTGATATATCTGGACAGACCACCTCCTGAAAAATTTCTGGGAATTTTTCAACCCATCCGGATTCAATCCTGGGTCCCCAGAGCAGTATGCTGCCAGAGAGTAGTCAAGGTGGTAACCTGGACTGCTCTGCCATCAGATGATGGTCTGAAATGCTATTACATAAAGACAGCCAGTCACTTCTAGTAGTGATCCAAGAGACCATGACAATCCAGTGGTATGTCAGTGGTAGTGATATCCAGTGGTAGTGACATCCTGCAGCCAAATGTGATGTTTCTCTTGGCAGATCTTCCAACAACCTTTTCCTACAGGACAATGTTCGACCACACACAGCAATGGTGGCACAGGACTTCCTCCACCATATTGCCTTCCCTTATTCCCTGGTTCCCTTATTTGTCACTGATCAAACATGTCTACCGTGTTTCCCCGAAAATAAGACATCCGCAGAAAATAAGACCTAGCACAGGTTTTGCTGAATTGCGAAATATAAGACCTCTCTCTGAAAGTAAGACCTAGCGAAGTTTTTTTTTAGTCCTAACGGTCATGGACAGATGGTTGAAAGTGGCCATTGGCTTTTTGAAAGTACAGCCACTGATTGGTCAGCAGACAATTACGCCACACGGCATGATTTGCATAAGACTATGGCTTGGGAATCACAGATTTGCATAACGTTACGGCTGGTGATGGCTAATTGGTCGGCCGGGAATCACACCACATGACATTTGCATAGTTCTACGGTTCAGTAAGCACTAATTGGTCATCGAGTCCGATGTTGACGCTATAAAAACGCGACAGTTCGACACACCGGATATACGTCACTCTCGTCTAAGTTCGATTTGGGAATTTTTTTGTTCAATAATAAATGTAAATTCTTCTTCCTGGAAAAAATAAGACATTCCCTGAAAATAAGACCTAGCGCATTTTTCAGAGCAAAAATTAATATAAGACACTGTCTTATTTTCGGGGAAACATGGTAGGATCATTTATTCTTAAGCCTTTGTGTCCTTATTATACAAATTTATTATTTGTATAATAAGGACATAAAGGACAGATTAACTAGGACAGATTGTATTACTAGGACTTATTATATTGATGTCCAAGTCCTGCAAAAAGAGGAAATGTATCCAGAGAAAAAAAGGAAAAATATTGTTGGCCTGATTTACCTGTACACAATTTACACATTTTGTTTTTCTTTTGGACCATTTGGTCCCTCATCAACAGATACTGCCACCATGTGATTATTTTGGTCACTAATAACATCAAAATATAAAAATAACAACATAAAAAAATCCATATTATGTTTCCAATCTTGTATATATAAATCAATAATTTTAAAAGATACATATTTAAAAAACGGAGGTTGTGAAATATGATAATGGTCCAGACAAAGGGTAGTGAGGGATATGTTGGTTTTAAGAAAATGTTTTCACAACCCCTTTTTTTTAAATATGTATCTTTTAAAATTATTGATTTATATATACAAGGTCAGAAACATAATACAGATTTTTATGTTGTTATTTTTATATTTTGATGTTATTAGTGACCAAAATAATCACATGGTGGCAGTACCTTCTGATGAGGGACCAAATGGTCCAAAACAGAAACAAAGTGTGTAAATTGTGAACAGTTAAATCAGGCCAACAATAAAGATTTTTCCTTTTTTCTCTGGATACATTTCCTCTTTTTGCAAGACTTGGACACTGGTATAATAAGTTCTAGTAATATGATCTGTCCTAGTAGACATTTAAATAATAAATATCTAGGATCACTTGGGATGCCAAGTTTTGTAAATTTTTATGATTTATATATTAATATTTTTGTTATTTTTTTTTATGTTGTTTAAGTTTATGTAATTTAAGTAATTTATTAAAGCAATAAAACTTTCATATATTATTATTATGTTGCATGAATTAAAAATCCCCAAGATTTGCTCTTGGATTTTTCTATTATACAGATACTGTGATATATTACAGTCAAAACATTATAGAATACTGTTTAATAATAGTGTGTGATAAAACATGAAAGTAGCTTCTTTTATGTTTTATCATATTCAGTATCTGTATTCTATAAATTGGATTTTGAAGTTTGATTATCCTTGTTCGAATAATGAAATTAATCTTTTTCAAGTTAATACAGAAATATATTGTGTGTGTGATATGTAGAATTATTTATGATGAATTGTATTGCATTCTTTAGTTTCATATATAAATGATATGTAGAGAATACAAAGCAACAATAGATCACATACTGAACTATTTTCTTTAATTTCAGAATTTTTATAGAAAATTGTAACAGAGTACAGGTAGCCCTCGGTTTATGCTGGCTCAATTTACGCCAATTCACAATAACGCCGTTGTGCAATTTGCCTGATTTTCCCTATGCCAGACTGATTTTTATTTCAGTATTGACGTATTTACTGAGTCGCAACATTGTACATTCGTTAAAACAAAGATTTTTATTGAATATATTTATTTTTTCTGTTTAATATTATTGGGTATGTATACATTTGCATTAAATTAATATTAAAATACTAAATGTATAGGTTCCCATGAGTCAAGTTATTAAACTTAATAGTCCAATAAATGTCTTCCAAATTCAGAGTGCTAATGAATACAAATAGTTTGTATCCCGTATCAGTTCGTTCAGGAAAACACCTTACGATGCAGTAGCACTTCCGGTGATCACAAATTATCATTAGTGAGACAAAATCTACTTCTCGTTGACCAGATATCTAACTCTACGGTGCTACGGCGGCTGGTGGTCAACCACTCAGTGTCTCTGCTCGTCTGTAGCTCTATTTCGGGTTAGCATATCCTTTCAACTATGGAAAGTTTACAGTTGAACTTTGTGAGTTAGACAATGATTGGGAGAGAAGTGCAAATGTAAAAAAATTAATCACCACATCCATTTGACTATATTCTGAAATTATTAATGAAAGAAAACAAAAATCTAAACAATTACAAATGGATACTTTTTTCCAAAAAATGTGAGAGATCTGAAACTTTGAAATATCATTTGTTTTTCTTAAGATTTTTTAATAAAAACATTTCACTTTATTTCATTATAAAATACATTTAAAAAATTAAATTTATAATATATGTATTTTGTATTATATTGTATTAATAAACAAAATTATTTGCTTATTTTTCACTTATGTAGAACCTAACCCTATACCTCACTGTAAATATGGGTTCATTTTGTGCCGGCTTTTGTAGGAATGGAACTGCGGCATAAACTGAAGGCTACCTGTAGTACATTTAGAAGTTTATTTTTCATGAACTACAGTAGAGCATCGATTATCCGACCCCCGATCAACCGTCACATCGGCTAACCAACTGCGTTAACTGATAATTGCATTAACAGTCAAAATTTTTCTTAGCAGTTTTTCTTTGGTAAAGATAACTTTCGTGCTTGGAAGCAGTACCCACAAAATTTTTACCTGTATATTTTCTACATTTTGCCTCCAAGCATCAATCATATTTTTACCAAAGAAAAACT